CTTCCCAGTTTGCCGCCAATTCTACCTTACCCCATTTCTCTACCCGTTCACCTTCTTTCTATGTCACGGGCAACCCTTTTATACCTCATATCAACACTAGGAAAATCTGTCAAACATTTCGCTCTCTTGAAACGCAGACAAACCAACCGGTCCGGACGGTATTCAACCCATCATTTTAAAAATATGTGCTCCTGAGCTGGCTCATGTTTTACGTTGTCTTTTCAATCTTTCCTTCCAACTTTCTTCCTTTCCAACCCCCCCCGGAAACACGCTGTGACTTTTCCCATTCCCAAACGCAGTGACCTTTCTAACCCCAACAACTATCGACACATTTCCCCCCACAGCTGTTCTTTCGAACTTGTTTGAAACTATCATCTCTGACCAGCTACGCACGTTCCTTGAACGTGAAGGACTACTGAGCGACCGCCAGTATGGCTTTCGACCGCGTCGCTCCACCGGTGATCTGCTGGATCTTGTCTCACAAGCCTAGTCAGCTCCACTCGATAACCACGGAGAAACACACTTGGTCTCGCTTGACATCTCAAAGGCCTTTGACCGAGTTTGGCACGAAGGTCTACTGGTGAAACTACCCATGTTCGCGATCCCTTCGGCGCTCGTAGCGTGGATATCAAGTTGCCTCAGTAAGCGAACCATCTCCGTCCGAGCTGATGGGGTTCTATCTCAACCATTCCCTATGAACGCTGGTTTTCCCCAAGGTTCAGTAACTGCGCCTACCCTCTTCTTTCTATTCATCGATGATCTCCTTTCCAAAACTGTCAACTTGATCCGTTCTTTTGCTGATGACGCCACCCTCTACTGCTCCCCTCCTACCGCACTGCTCGTCATGCCCAAACCAACATCGATGGTGACCGTGGTGCACTTATTGTGTCACTGGACTCCGATCTCGAACACATTTCCTCGTGGGACATTGAAAACCACGTTTCGTTCAACAGTTCTAAAACCTCTCTTCTTTTAACTTCTTTAAAACATCATTCATTCTACCCCATTTATCTTATAATTCCACCCAACCGTCTTCCACAGGTTCTGTTTTCCTTCATGGATAGCCTATAAATCCTTCATGCTGGTCCCGTTTTATATCTAAGCTTGCTTCTCGTGCTGCGCGCAAGGTTGGATTTCTATTTCGCGCCAGATGTTTCTTCACCCCCAGTTCATCTTCTATTGTACAAAGCTCAAATCCGCCTTGCTTTTGAATACTGTAGTCTTGTGTGGGGTAGGGCTTCGTCTTCTTCCCTTTCCCTTCTTGATCGTGTTCAACGAAAAGCCATCCGGCTAACTAATGATCTTTCGCTAACATCCAGTCTGCAGTCGCTAGCCCATCGTTTGGCAGTTGCCTCCTTGACCCTGTTCTACCGCTACTACTTTGGTTTTTTGTTCTTCGGAACTTGCCTCG